TATTATGTAATGGTATTAAGATGGACTAAGTAGACCTGATCGTAGTATCGATCTTCTAGTGAATCGGTGTATCGTACCGGCACTGGCGAATCATGGCAAGCGGTATAACGTATAGAAATATCATATCACTGGAGCGGATAAGAGCTACATTCTGAAAACAGACGTATTGGCGGTTCTCATGCACATTCTCGAAATTTTTGCAATCGCGAAGCATCATGAAGCTCATTTAGACAACTTCCAACAACTCCAACAAGCATCCTCAAAATCCTAAGGTAACACTGGGTAACGAATCCTAGGAGGTAATGAGAAAACTCTAATAAAGACTTTCAGCTGGTTTGCTTAGATAAAAAAGCCCAAAAAGAGAACTGAAATATGTTCACAGGAATAGGGAACAGCACACTGCCCGCAGACTCGTTGCGAGTAAGAACCCTACTGAAACAGATATGCTTGCAGAGAAGCAGAAGATTTTCTCCACAGAAAAGAATTTTGCATAATATCAATCTGAAGTACCATTTCCAACGACAAGACATAAATGTGGGTTACTCTGCTGTTTAAGCTCTGTTAACCCAGATGACGATGACAAAACAACATGTTTAAACGAGCTTCTCACATTCAGTGGTGAAGACAAAATCATGGACTAGCTTCAGCTTCAGTCTTCAGTTAACACTTTAGCTTAACAATGCCATAGCGCATTATTATAAACGCAAACGCTAATATCTAAGCATATAAGATATCAAGTTCTGCTACCTGGCATTTAGCTCTACTTTACTATCAACCAAACACTGGGTACTGTCAGTAAATCATACTTAAAAACAGACACATAAACTATTAGAGTTGAAAAATATGTGCATAATAAATTTGAATAGCGGAATCATTTTGCAAAGAATTTTTTAATTTTGAATTAAATCATATCATATTCAACATGATGATTATGCGCCACCACCTCCAGTCTGAATTGCATGCTTATAGGAAAAACAAGCGACCGATAGTAACGACATGTATTTTCAGCCAACCTTTCGGAAAAACGACTGTCAGTGAAGGCGCTGATTATGTTGTACGGCCTCAAAATAAGATCATAAATATCGGTCTTCTGCGTAATCATGTAAAGAAAAGACTCGGGTGAATACATTTTAATCTCAAGGGTATAGAAGAAGCAATACAGGAGCTAAAACCACTGAGTCATAACCTGCTTTAAGTTTCGGAGATGCAGTGACATCGCGCAACTGATGTAATCACATGAGCATTTGAAACTCATTATACCTTAAACGCAATCACAGATGAACTCTTTCTTTTGGCTACATTAAGATAAAACCGGAGACGGATGACTTACCGAGACCGATTTACTACTTTCAAAGGCGTTTAGTAAAACCAAGTTACATAGCATACGGTTTCCTACAGCAAGGACTCAGAAATCCGAAGGTCCTGTTCCTATAAAACTATGATCAGCGCAAATTCAGTATCCGAAAGCAGCTGAAAGTCGCTAAGCGAATATCTGCAACCAAAAACCCCCGTAAATGTCAGACTGCAGACTGCCGTCAGCGCTTTCATAAACCACATTTCGCGGCTCAACAATATATTAGTATAAGCATATGACACTACGAGCAATCGTTAATAGATAATAATTCATCGCACCTACCTCAATAAATTTGTGAATCGAAGACTGGTGGTCTTTTCTTAACTTGAAAAATAATGTGTCAAAGCCGGCCCCAAGGTTAACAATCTAAAATAGTTAAATATGTATTTTGACGATACAAACAGTACAAAACAGTTAATGAAATTCGAATATTTTATTATTCATCCGATAAAATTGTTAATCAATCATTCGCGGCCTAAACCTTGTATATGAATTTAATTTAGCTAAGCTTGACGGATCATATTTTTTAACTGAAACCGGTGAAAAATCGGCATACAACAGTATATTTCCCCTAGTCTGCTACTACACTAGAACTCAGGATAACATCAACGAATTTATCACCAATGACAAGCAGTTTTCTGGTATGGTTGGGCACATCAATTAGTACTGTTAAGAGACAATACCATCGATTAACGGAGTCGTGAACAGAGTCAGATTAATTCATAACCATCAGTTTGACATTATAACGATAAGCACCTTAATACACTATTTCGTTATATCCTCAGGGTAGCAAGTACCTTTTCCTACTACAGCGAGTTAACAGATTTCATTAAGCTTTTGATATATGTCAACCGTAATTCTGACGTTAGAAGAATTCTGTCACAGACTCAAATCGAGATGTAGGAAAAGAACAGGTTACAGACGGTGTAAGCGCAACAAAATATCAGGGTTGTAGCAACCTCAAGCAAGTAATAATAAATCTTGACTCGTGAGCTTACACTTGACACAGCCCTAATTATGGACAGCATTCCAACGATGCCCCTTTAGTCGTTTTCAATGAAATCCGGTTTATTATTAATCGATTATTCTCCGAGTAATAAGCTGCATGATCTTTAACACTAGCTTAAGCTACAAATCGCTTTGTCGCGTTTAACAACGTATATTTTCAAGTGAGGAAGAGAA